ATTGACATTATAATTAAGTGTTACCATTGGTACGACGTTTCGCCCCAAATTTCAGGTCTTTATCAAGTAACCGATAATTGCAAACCAACATGTCACAATTTTTCCAGATGGTAAGAAATCATAAACAAGTAAGAGTGTAGATATGTAAAAGTTACCTCGTGCATAGATGTTCACAGAGCATAAATTATAACAAACTCACAGGTCACTGTCAACCGAGGAGTAAACCGCTCACCAAAATCATGTACACCATCTTATTTATCTTGTTTTATCTTATTTTATGTTATTTTATCTTTATAATGCCCTAACAAGACCTAATGCCCAAATTAATGCCCAAAAATGCCTAGTAATGCCTAGCAATGCCTAGTAATGCCGCAAATCTGCACACCACAATGCCCTCAGCGGTTTCAATGTAGGAAATCGCCAGGAAAATTATTTTAACTTAAGTGAGAGCACCTTTGCTGACGATAACAATTCCACCCGTAAGAAAATTGCGTTATGTCTGAAGAGAAACCGGCGTGCAGGACGAAAGTAGAAAGAAACGGTATAGAAATTCACATTTTAATAAATTACAAGTATAGGCTACCTACATCTTGCCTTAGACCCGCATTAGCCGTTTTATATGTTGTTTAGTTTTATTGAGGGTCCCACTTTAACTCTAATGTTTAAGTGAGCACGTCCGCGCGTTATAAAGTTCCGAGAATTGAACTCTGATTGTGATTGAGGGAAAGTTATCGCCCATGAAAATTCAGACACTTGACGAATGTAATAATTCTCGGTGAAATTTTGTTGATACACAAACAACACGGCATTAAAAACCAAATCTCAACGTATTATCCGCATAACGCACAATTATCGAAATAAATCACGCACCGGCTCGAGTTGACCGTGAACACGCGAACGCAATTCTCACGAGTGACAGCGCGTCTATTGCTTATGTCGACTAATCGAGATGACAGATTGCCATTTATTGTTCCGCGAGATTAAGTAGTTTCGTGGTAAAGAATAGCGGCGAGCCTCACCAGCGGCAAAACGGAAAGGGAACTCCAAGCGCTGCAGTCACAATTGTCGACTTTTAATAGCTTCGTACACGAAAAGAGAAGCTCGTGCCAGGTTCCCGGTATCACACGTTATCGGTCTCGTTTTTCCACCCTCTGCCGTCTGTCCTGCATGCGTTCAGGGGTATTTCGCCGAGCGCACCTGGCCGTGTCCTTGACACGCATAGCATTCGAACGCGATCGGTATCCACCGAGCGATAGACACGGCATTCTATAATACCGCAATTTAATTGCCATTTGCTAGCAATACCTTTATCGATTTTATAATTTACATTTCCTGAGAAACTCGAAATTTAATTAATATATCACTTAATATCGCGAGCGGAAAATACGAGATCGATGAACATTGTATCTTGTCATTTTGTTAATGACAAATTTTTACGATATTACATTTCAAAACGCTCATGAGTCGCCTATCTTGCTCGGATTGTTTTTTTGTATGTGAAAGACAGCGCTTAGTTAGCAGTTAAATGAAACAGGTTGGACTTTTATATCAAAGTCGAGACATTTACAGCGGGCTACTCTATATAATGCCCTTTTCAATGTATGAAGGTTGCAGAGGTCTCTCCTTTCACAAATTATAGGAGTTCGCGGATCCTATTATCGCAACAAAAAAGTCAAATGTAACTTTGATACGTAAGATGAAAGGCAAGTGCAGATCCGAGTTAACCCATTTTGACTGACCGATTAGTTCGCGGGGGGGGGGGGGGGGAAGAATCTACCAATCTTGCCTTCGACAGAAGAGGTCAACGACTGACAGAAGCTGACGTTAATTTTCCTACGTATTTTCCTCCGTACTGTTTAATTTCTTGCGATGCGGCGTTACGATACGATCCGTCGCGACGGGACGAGAGATGGATCAGTCTGGCGACGTCGTATTCGATTACCGTTCAAGAGGACAGGTGAAGAATATCGAGTACACGTGGAGCGATCCGTCGTAAGAGTCGCGGCGGTGGTAAGCGGCGAGAGAGGTAGAAAAGGAAGAAAAAAAAGGGTAAACGCGCCGGGGACGGACGTCCGTTGCTGTAGAGGAGACGTCAGATTAGAAGCCACGGCTTGACTGGTACACATGCATATTTTTTATTACATAAATTGGCGCACGAAGGTCTTCCCCCTCGAGAGAAGTTATCGCGTTAATGCCTATTACCACGCGCCCTCCCTCGCGCTTGCCGCGGGTGAACTTGTCGAGCGTGATTTCGTCGCATGAGCTTTTCCCATGAATGTCGGCGAGTCGCGCGGAAAAGACTGACAAACGAGCTTGAAGATTCATCGAATGTTACCGGCGCGTTGACGCGAAAGTACTTTTTTCCGAGAATATAAGAGACCGATGAATTATACGAGACGTACTGCCGCGATAAATGTCACTTTCTCGATTCATTTCCGTAATATTTTGCACGCGATAGCACACGGTGGCCGACGTTTCTTAGCAAACTTGTCAATTTTCGATTGAATTATTGCGACAATTAATCGCGTCGCGTTCAATTCCCGATTTGCGAGATAAGATAAAAAAATAATTTTATAGCGTATAATAAAAAGGCTTAATGCAAGAGAGAGATTGCGAGTATTGGGGATAAATTTAGTCTTTCCGCGAAGAAGTCGACCGTCGCAATCCTGCAAAAGTTGTTGAACCGATGCTGGAAATCCAATACGTAGAATCGTTATCCAATCACATTACGAGCCTGACTTTTCTATCGTGTGCCAGTAAACTTGACACCTCCGTTAGACATAATCTTATCGAATTACGGTCATTCATTTAACGATTAGACTTGAGATTAATGCCATTCGTTTTAATCGCCGTGACGTTACTTATTGCAGCGTCGTTTATTAAATTAAGCATACCGAGAATTTGTCTTCAATCCGCAGCGAGAGCAATTTCGCCAGATAGATTTACAATTTTTGGCCGCCAATAAAACAAAATCTTGTTGCGGAAACAAATGGAAATTTATCTACATTCCGAGATTATTCAATTACATTACTATCCTTTTAATTCTACTGCGGTCACAGTGGAGTGTTTGCGGTATTTGATTTCCTGGAATTTTTCCCATGCTAATCAACACGACTCGTTACGGGTCCATTTGCAATAATTAAAAACAATAATTGACAAGGACTTTCCTAAAAGATTGCTGTTTAAAGCACGTATCGCCCAATTTAAATAATTTGATACATCTATTTCTGTATTTTTCCCGGAGAATCGGTTGCGCGAACGAAAAATAAGAAATGCGGAGATAGAAGCAAAAGCAGCTACCCAGTCTTATTCGGTGTAAACTATGATTCCCCGTTCAAAGAATTCTGCAGTCTTTTTGAAGAATTTAATTCCAGTTAGTCCCCGAGGAAAAAGAGAGACAGAGACAACTGGCAACTAAGAGGATATAATCTGCAGAATCGTATTTAAACTGCCGCTTGTGCATCTTGCAGTAGCACAATCAAGATATTATATATTAGTTAAAAACTGCAATAAAAAAGAACGCGCGTAACATTTAGAAATTTTAAAACGCTAAGGACAATTTTTCAAGCTGCTCCTTCGGCGCATATTTGCGATATTCCATATTAACTGGGAACGCAAATTTCTTTGCAAATTAAAAAGAAAATTCGATATCAACTACGCGCGAATGCATATATTAGCATTTCGTTATGGCAATGAATTTCATTGTGCCATGTATCGCGTTTTCGTCAGTCATACGATAATATCGTACCATAAATATGAAATAATTTTCTTACCATCTAATAATTCAATCAGTTAGCCTTGAACTACAATATAGTATTCTATACGTGGATACTATATATATGAATGCAATTAGACATAATTATTCACATAAATTGCAAAACGGTGATATCGTGTGTCATACTTAAAATCTTTTTATAGCCGCGGTATAAATAAATTTTGTCTACGCTTTTTCTACCTAAATAAACAAAAATAGCCACTCGCATTTCTTCCCGGTTGCTATCGTAAACACCAAGTGTATCTTTCACTTTACGATACAAAGTACGCTCCTTTATAATCTCGAAAAGTAAGGCGCGCAAAACTCTTATCTAAACAAGCAATCCCGTCAAGGAGAATTCTTGTCAGCAAATCGCGACAATGCAAAAGAAATCGTCAGTGTTCCCTCTGCCCCTCCTCTATCTCCCTTCCTTTTCGCAATCAATTCGAGCCACCGCTCCGTTTCTCCTCGCGCAAGGACTCGAGGCATTTCTGGAGTGATATTGCCAGTGACATGCATTGTCCCATATTGTGACACAGAGCTACCCCTTTCCTCCATTTAACCGAGCCCTTCCATACCCACTCTGCGCACCACAGAGTCGGGATGTTTTACATAATATTGAAAATGAACCTCTGGCTCAATGCCTGCACGTTCCGCATATCGCAGCCTCAATATTCCCTAGTACCTACTTCGATTACGTTTCCACGTCTGTCAGGGAAGATGAGTGGGCATATATTTTTAGTCTTGACCTTCGAAGTAAACCGATCGCGGTAACGAAACGGAGCAAACCGAGCCGCGATACGTACCCAATTTCTTCGGGAATCGATACAAAGTATATTCGCATTAATTTCCAGCCTGTGCGCGATCTTGAATGCCAGCGCGGCGGGACAATGAAACGCCGGCGTGTCGTGAAAATTTATGACAGTCAAACGAAACATTCCGTGCCCACCCTCGTACGTTCGTTAATAACTTGAGCCGCTTTGTGAGATTAACGTAACGCGGTCGGTAAAACTACCGAATTAATCGGCACAGAGAGAAATGTCATTGTCATAATTTACTTAATTAACACAACGCTACGCGGTGCCATCGATAGCGAAGCGCAACTCGCGGATTACTCTGCGCCGCCGGTGGATACATAGTTGTATTCGGCCGCAAACTAATTGGCCATGTGATTATTTGGCATTTTAGCCTCAGAAAAAAAGGATGGCGATTAATTGTCGCTTTCGTTCCTTCACGGGCGACTTACCGTGCGTATCAAACTTCCTGATGATGGTTTCGATGATAGTAGTTCTGGGCGCCACGTGACCCCGTCTAACAGGCATCTCAGGAACAGGATTCCCAGATAGCTGGGCAGCCGAGACTTCCGCGTTCGAGCGTGCGAACGGGCGCGCCGGGCCCGATCCCTCTTAATTAATAAATCGCGCGGTATAACACTAAAGCACTAGGAAAACACTCGCGGCGTATACTGCACGAGCACGGTAGAAAAAAGCACAGCACGAGTTGAGCATAGTGATCAGCCGTATGAGACAGAGTTAACGTAAGGCGACTTAACTCGCGAGGAAAAGGGAAAGATTCGTTGCTGCGTTCGGACAACGCGCGGATCAGGCGTGTTTACCACCTTCCTCCGTCCGCTTCTCGATAGATAGATGTACGAAAGGGCGACGCGGGTCTTTAAACGAAGAGGAGAGAGAGAGAGAGAGAGAGTTGTGTCGTTCAGGTGCTTCTATCCCGTGTCTATCTCGGTTTGGTCCCGCTCGTTGGTATCGCCGTCGAGCGTGGACTCTGGTCGGTGAGAGAGCGCGCGGCTGCGTTTCCGCGCGTTCGCACGCGAATGACTCGGATGTGTCTCCTGCTCGCTGGCGTTGGTTTGGACCCGGGGTTCTCGTCTCTCTATCTAGATATACGTCTAAGATCGTCGGCGCGGGGCGTTGCGACGATTCCTCCTGCCGTCGAGCCAAGGACGCGGGGAAGGTCGGTCCCACCTTGTCGAACGGCCGGCATGCGTTGTCGCGCACGTGCACGCGTGGCCACTTCCGATGTGCGTGTGTCTCAGGTGGCGCGAGGAAACACCTATTTATATAGCGAGGATACGGCTTCCAGGACGCGGGGCTGGCGTTGCTTCGCGAGGAGGCTACGACGACCAGGCCTTGGCCGCTCGCCGGCAGCGTCCGTCCTCTCGTCGGCAACGTCTCATATCGCTCCGATTGTCGTTCGACGCGCGCGCGCGCGCGCGCGCCGATCTATCGCGCGCGCGTTTAATTTGCGATCGGGCGTCCTAATACGGTCGAGCAACACCAACGCGGTGGCGTCGCGATGCGGGTCAACAGCCTCGGGGCTTCGATCCTCAGGGAGTTGACGTTTCTGACCACAGGCACTCCTACGTAATATTCGCCAACTTCGCTCGACCTCGTGGGATCGGGGTCAGGCCTCGCGGCAGCCGAGGTCGCGGAATGCGGTAATCTCGGAGAGGCGCATGGCTCGGACATCTCCACGATGTCGTCGCTCGATCGCTCTTGCCGCCAACGGGCTCAACCTCCGTCGGGGGGGGACGGCTCGATTTCGCACGACGAGTCGACCTGTCGAAGGCGCGACCCCCGGGACGAGAGAGGCGTCCAACGGTTACAACGACGACGGTTAAAGGCACGTGGTGTGTGTTTGCGCTCGGGTTTACGCGGAATCGGATCGATCCCTCGTCCGGTCGCGTCCCGACGCGAGTCGCGGCGCTCGCCAGCGCTGATCGAACGTCCGGCACTCGCTCCCTCTTTCTTCTCCACCCCCTCTCACTCTCTCTCTCTTTCTCTCTCTCCCTCTCTCTCTCTCTCTCTTCCTCTCCGACGTGGCTGGTCAGCTGTGCATCTCCGGTCAACCACGGGGACAGCTATTTTTGTACTTCTTCCTCATCCTCCGCGATCATGTCCGACTACCGCCGTTGTCGCGATTTCTCTCGGGACACCCCTCGGTTCATGCAGCCACGTTGGACCACGGAGTCAAGCCCTCCGACCGCGCTTCCCGACGAGTCACCGACGCACGGGCATGACGATCAGATCGTTACCGCCGTCGGGAAATCGGTCAAGGTTTTCAGGCAGCCGCGCATAGCAGTCCGCGGCGCGAAGCTACGTTGTTTCTCTCTTCCGCCTGTCCGCACCTCGATGGTATCGTCACGCTGTCACGCTGTCTCACTGCTATTTGGTTCTCACATCTCACAGTTGGTCTCACGTTTCACGTGGTGCCCGCAGCTGTACAGTCTCCGTGCGACGAGACGGACGCACGCGTGAGAACGACTCACCACGCCTTCCGCGCGGGTCGCTACACCGAATCGCAGAGATACGATGCCCTCTCGCTGACCTCTCGCTGGCTCCTCGACCCTCTCGGTCGGTCGGTCGGTGGTGACACCCGGTTCGCACCCCCTGCACCGTCTCCGGCCGACGCACTCCAGAGGAAGGTCGCCGAACACTGTTGCTCCGCCGCGTGCTCGGAGCCTCCCCTCGCCCCCGTGACCGCCGTGTAATGTCGTAACGCACACGAGGTGGTCCTCCCTTTCCGCGGGCTCCGCTTCGAGTTGCTGACAACGGCGTCGCGACGCCGCGGACACGGCACCCTCGTCGCTTCGATCCGAGCCTCGCGTGGTTTTTGGCGAGTCGCCGTCGTATGTTCGGTCGGAGAACTGAAAACGCGAGAGGAGGCGCGAGACGGGTCGACGTCTCGCTCTTTCTCTCTTTCTCCCTCGGCGTCGGCGGCGGCGGCGGCGGCGGCGACGGCGACGACGACGACGCCGGCGACGCTGGCACGTAACGGGGGGAGCCCGATCGTGCCGCACGGCGCCTGCGTATCCCCACTTGAAATCGTCCGCCGCGATCACCCCGGTCGTCCCGTCGCTCCCGTCCGACGGCCTTTTCTCTCTCCCTCTCTCGCGCTTTCCGCCGCCGCCGCCGCCGCCGCCGCCGCCGCCGCCGCGCGACGTCCGCTGATAATATTGATAAGGCGAAAGCCTGGCCGCCCTCCCCGTCGGCGCCCCTCTGTCTTTCGCACCGGGGGTGACGAGAACGCGTTCGGGGTCGCCGCGTATGTAATCTACGAGGACGCAACAACGTCACGCATTGTACTACCGGGCTCTATTTCTCGGGTTTATTCCATTGTAACGCGACGACCCCGTCCGCGCGACGCCATGCAGCCCCCGCGAGTTTCGCGTGCGAAACTTTGTAGCGCCACGCGCGTTTTTAAAGCGCGAGCGACGCGAATGACGACTCGCCTTACTCCGATCGCGAACCGCGGGATTATTCTCGATTATCCATCAATCGAGAGACGTGTGCCCTTCGTTGGATAAATATTATTTCGAAACTGTTGACGTTTGGACGCCGAGAGAGGAAAAAGCGACGGTGTACATACATTGTTGTGGCACGTATGCGGACGAGGGACGCCGAGTATGACACGCGATAACGATCGTTTCTTTCATTCACCTACCACATCATCATTCACTTTGTCGTATTAGACTCCAGATAAATACACGAAATAAATCTGACTTGTGCGCGCGACGTGTATAATGTAAAAGTTTTCATTTTCATTGTGCAAATATAACTGCGCAAGTTTTATCAATATGTTTTTCAAAGTTGTAACATCGCCGAAGATACGGCTCGTACATTTGCATGTATAATTCGAGATACTCTTTTTGGGGGATTCATTCACGCGTTAACGAGTGAGAAGGCGGCGTGAGAAAATTGTCGCGAGTAGAATTTTTTCAATGAAACGAGGGGATATCGCCATATCGGTGTCGCACATCCGGGCCGTTGTATTTCGCGGCCATCGCGCGGCCTCTGTCGGCAAACTTCAGAGTCATTGGGAAAGCGTCGGTACGACAAGGAGACGCGGCTACAGGAATTGGCTATCACGACCAAGAACTCGTGACTTTACCAGCACAGCAAGTGGCAGTTCACTTCTGATTCGTCGATCGATGTCGAAACAATGTTAAATCGACATCGACGTTCGGCAGAAAAAGCTGCTTTGCAATTGTTTCAAAAATTCGTGAATCTGATTGGTGTATTCTTTTAATCTTGAGTGAATTTAATAGCGAATTCGGTTGCTTGCACTAGTGCGCACTGAGTGCACACTAATAGCGAATTCGGTCGCTTGCACTAACGTACACTAGTGTACACTGAGTGCAAACTTTCCCAGTGCAACGTATTCGATCGATGCCTTCTGTTTCAGTGCATTGCACTCGTCGTATTCGGTTATATTGCACTATTACAGTACAAATCTTATATCATGTTCGACGAGTGTTACACTAACCTAGTGTAGTACTGATTTTGTATTCGGATACGCAAAATAAACTGAAGGAGTGCAAAGTTTATTACACTGTCAATTTTTGCAGTGCAGTTACTATTAGCGCGGTAAAATTATGGATCCTAACCGTGGACTTTTATTTCTTAATGAAATTTTAGGTTAGCATCGATCGGACCTAGTGTTGCACTCGCACAAGACAAGTTTAGTGCAAAACGAGTTCAGTGTGTAATTGCATCGAGTTGGTGTTGCACTGAGAAAGATTAATACCGATCGGACCTAGTGTTGCGCTTGTACAGTTCAGTGCAAAACGAATTCAGTGTCAGTGCAAACCGGCCGAATTCACTATAAGGCTCGTTTAGTCAATTTTTATATTAAAGGCTAGAAATGACAAAACGCGCGCTTCGCGCGCGCAGTTTGTAGTTGAGCATTGTATATTTTTAAGAATTTGTATATGTATATGCAAGAAGTAATTGTATGCGCAACGTCAATTTAAATTAAAAAGTAATTTGTCACTCACTGATACGATTCGCAACAGCACAGTTGTACATCGTCACTATATATGTATGTTAAACTGTAAAAATACAAATATGTATATGATTAGTATAGACTAATTATGCAAAATCGAAACTATTGTATTAAATATATTTTATATTTGATATTTAAAAAAATGGGTATTTATTAAAACAATTATATATAGAATACTGAAAGTCTTCCTTTTAAATATGTACTCACAAAATTTTATATGTATGGTTTTGTTTCTAACACTTATTAGAATCCTGGTTCGAACCATTTGAATAAATAAAATAAAAACACAGAATCGATGCTTTATTTTACACAAGTAGCAAATAATATAAAAATGTAAGACACCTCACCATTTCTCCGCCGTTGCCCGATGCCTCCCAGGCTTCTTCCTCCTCTTTGATTTCCTTGTTGCACTCACACAACACTCGCGAAAATCATCGATCGCGCGAAATTTCGAGCACTCCCGTACGCGATGTGAAATACCGCGAAACGCACGAAATATTATTAACAAATATCGCGGGACTTTTGGTAATTGTGCAT